GCTCTTCTTCGTGTGTCACATTCAATGATCCAGACGCGTCTGAAGCGCGTCACGTGACTCTCGAGTTGATCTCAGTGAAATTAAAGTCAGTGGATTTATTTTCCACGCGTGACACGCGCCGTCAGCGCGATCACGCAGCGACTCTGACGTCTCTGTCCCGCAAACAGCACGAGCACAAAATAATACAAAAGAATACAAAATAAAACAAATAAAACAAGAGTTTAGTTTATGAACAACAGCAAACTCTGGTTATATTAAAGAGCACATTAATAAAACTAAAATAATAAAACTAAAATAATAACCAGAGTCGAGCTGAGCTCAGAGTTTGTGTGTTTATTTGTTTATTTGTTTATTTGTTTATGAGTTCAACACAAGTGCAGAAGAATGTGATTCTTGGTTCTTGGTTCTGGTTCATTCTTGTATCGTCCTGGTGTTTGTCACAGTAACTTTATTTTAGTTTAAATCAGAAACTCGACTTAACGTTCTGGTGATGTCACAAAAACTCACACACGTTTTTATTACACATTAATTTATTTTTAATCTTTGTAAAAAATAAAATGAGCTGCTCTTTTAATCTGTTTATGATCTAATTATAATTCATGTTTTACCTTTTAAGCAGTTTTTAATCTTTTATAATCCTGAAATGAAACAGTTGATTCTGTTGAACAAAAACGTCACACGTCACACGTCACACGTCACACTAAAACTGAAACCTTTGTCGGTTTAACATTAAAGAACTTTATTTAACATTAAAGAACTTTATTTAACATTAAAGAACTTTATTTAACATTAAAGAACTTTATTTAACATTAAAGAACTTTATTTTACTTAAAGCATCAAATGAAAATCACATTTCATCATAAAACAAAGTGAAATAAAAGTTCAGTGACGTTTGTCGTTGACTTAAAAAAACATAAAACAACAACAAACATTTTCTACATCGACCTGAAGAAACAGTTTACACCAAACACTCGACGCTTACTTGTATATTTATATATATTTATATATATTTATATACTTTATTTCATTTATATTATTTATATACAGTGTGTGTTTACCATTAGCATTAGCATTAGCATTAGCATGTTTTTGGATTTTGTTCTTTGTGTTTTGTTTGTGTTTCTTTGGGCGAGTGAAGTTCGACTCGAGCAGAAACACGTCACGTCCACTTTTAGAAAAGAGGAAATACAAACATCTCCAACAAATGTGTTTTTTTAAAAGATTAAATCAAACAGAAAACAACAAAACAAGAACAAGCTGAGACGTTGTGTTCGCTCAAACTCGCTCGACACAAACTCACAGAAAATCCTCTGGGTTTTTGTTCTTTTTGAATGAGTTTATTTTATTCCTTTAAATTTGAGCTTTGCCCTTTTCACACGTGAACATGTTTTATTCACTGTTGTGTTTTGATGGATTTATTTGATTTTCATATGAACTGTACTTTTATAAAACAGGTTTTGTTTGGGTTTGAGACTCTGCGTCTGAATCCTTCTGTTGTTTTCACTTTGAACTGATCCACCAGGAAACGTGGAAAAGTGGATTTATTCATCTGAGAGTCTCAGGGTTTGAGCAGAAAATGAATTATTTTTCTTATAATTCGTCCTAAAACCTCCAAAGGAGAAACTCGACGAGACTCGATCCGACCTGAAGCGTCAGTGAAGCAGCTCCATAATAAAATAATAAAATAATAAAATAATACAATAATAAAAACACGACACATGATCAGATTGATCAGATTGATCGTGTTTCATCAGTGTTTTCTGTTGTGGAGATGATCTTCTGATCTTCAGTCGGTCGTTCGTCTGTCAGAGTCTCGTGTGTTTTTCTCCAGGTTTTGTTTGTGTAAAAACTCTTCATGTTAAAAATCCACGACTCACCGAGAAACAAACAAAGAAAAGGCCTTTTCCTCGAAGCTTCAGGCCCAAACTTCACCCTGAACCTTCAAATTGTTTTGTTAAAAATCAACACAGACTCTGGTTTCTCTGAGCGCCTCGTCTACAAATCAGGACAAACTGTTTTCCTTTTATTCTGTGATTTTAATGTTTAAAAAATACAGAAAAATATAAATACAACAGTTTCATTTTCACCTACACATTGTGTTTTGTAAAATGTTTTCTGAGCCTAACTTTAATCAAACTGGAACTGTGGATATTTTATTACAATTAGAAACAAATCACTGTTTAAACAAAAGTAGATGGAAAATAATCTTTGGTGTGTGAAGCGTTTCTTAAACCATAAAAACACAACGAAACACAAAGTGAAAACTGTTTTAATTTTAATAATGATCATTTTAATGTGGAAACTAAAAACATTTATATTATGATCAGGAACAGAACAAATCTCACACACAATCAGTTTTTACAAATTCTAAAACTACAGATTAATAAAAAAAGAATCATTCTCAAAAGGAAAATTTATTAACTCTGAATTAAAAAAATGTTTTAACAAAATCATTTATCCATTTATACAAAAAACAAACAATGTTTCCCAGGACTTTAATGATCCAGAAAAGATTAAAATGAAAACAAATTCACCAGAAGACGCTCGACGGAAGCCCAGAGCAGCCAAAAAAAAAAAAAAAAAATGAAAAAAAAAAAAAAAAAAGGAGACTTTATTATTTGGGCTCCGTGTTTGTGTTTTGTGTTTGTGTGTGTTCTTTTTTTCACCAACAAATTCCACCCACATACACACACAAATATCTAGTTTTTTTGTTTTTTTATTTGTTCTTTATTTATTTTTTAATTGTTGTTGTGACCGATGAAAGAACAAATGTGAACTGAAACCCTCCAGAGCCTGAGTGTTTCTCGTGAGTTTGTCTGAATCACTTGAAGTGAAACCATCAGAGTTTTCATGAGTTTTAGTTTTTGTGTCGATCGATGCGTCGCAACAACGACACAAGACGCTGTTTTTCTATTTTAAACTGTCAATAAAATAATAATAATAATAATAATAATAACTGTGCAAAAAAAGAAAGTCGTTGGTGAAAAAAAAGACAAGAATAGTTTTGTGGAGCTGATGGTGGAAGAAGAAACACAAAGAAGAAAAACTTAGAAAATGAAGCTCTTTTTTTTTTTTTTTTGGGTATAAAACATAATAAATGTTCCTTCTGTTCTTCTGTGAATGTTCCAGAGTGTTTCTTTATGTGAACATGTTCTCTTCTGTCTCGGATGTGAGCTCTGGATAAAAAACATGAAACTCTTTTGGAATGTTTTTATTATTATTTTTTTACTTGGAACATTTTTCATCCACAAAAACAAAAACAAAACAAATGTTTGAAATATAAAATGTTCCTCAAAGAGCTGAAACTCTTTTCTCAACTCGATCGTTCCTAAGGAACAGACCAGCCGAGCTCCTCGTGTCTTTATTATTTTACCAAAATAAACCTTTTTCAAAATAAAACGTGAGTGTTTATATAAGAGAGAAAAGATCCAGGTTCTGTTCTCCAGTTTATTATTTTATTTATTTATATTTGATTCTTTGGACAAACGTCTGAATCAGGAGGAACATGTGGAGAGAAAAACACAATAAAAACTGCAGAGTTAAGTTTAATTTGAACTCTTTGAGAGTTAAATGTGTGTTGGAGTTGGGGTTATATTTGATTTGGTTGAAGTTAATTCAACTTCTCTTAGTGTTAATTTGTCTTCAAACTCCCTCCAGTTTGAACCAGTTTGAACCAGTTTTGTTCTGAATTTCATCTTAAATTAACTCAAATAAAGTGTCAAAATAAAACTCCTCTGTGTGTTGTTGAGTTAAATCAGAATAACTCTACAAAGTGTTATCTGTTTACTCTCTAAACGTTCATTTAACTCTGGGTTTGGGTTAAACAGGAACTTTGGTCCAGTTTTACTTCATGAACTTTTACACAAATGTGAAATATAAACACGGAGGAAATGTAAAAACTGAACTCCACTTTTTACTCTGAATAATGCTCTGTAAAGTGTCTCTGAAAAACACTGAATAAAACTGATGCATTATTCATCAATATTATGAAAGACAGAAAGAAAAAAGTCCAATAATAATAAATGTCTGTGTAATAAAAGCGTGCGTGCAGACTGGAGCGTGGACAGACGGCGCCCTCATGTGGACGGAGCGGGAACAGCAGCAGTCAGAGCCCGAACTCATCACAAAACAAACAACAAATAATCACAAATAAAAATATAAATAATACAGACGGTGTCATAAAAATGCTGTGGGAGTCACAGTTTCACTGATTTAAAATGAGAAAATGTGGAGCAAACCTAAACCTGCACGAAAGAAAAATAAATCTGAATCAACAGGAATTAAATGTGTTTGTGTTTTTCATTTATTTTTAAAAGATGTTTCATTCCCAACGTGTTTATTTTTACTGAAAACTGTAAAACTCACACTTATGTCACATATAATACTCCCTACAACTGTATAACAACTCACCTTTATGTCACAGATAATACTCCCTACAACTGTACAACTCACCCTTATGTCACATATAATACTCCCTACAACTGTAAAACTCACCCTTATGGCACATATAATACTCCCTACAACTGTACAACTCACCCTTATGTCACAGATAATACTCCCTACAACTGCACAACTTAAAGCTGAGATTTTATATTTTCTTACTTATCTTTCAATTTGATTTTTATTTTTGAATTATTTTATTTTGTACATTTATGTTTATATAATCATGTTTTACTTCACACTTGTCTCTTGGTCTTTTTTTTTTTTTTTTTTTGCCGCTTATTTAGAATTTATTATCTCCATTTATAGTTTTTCTCTTTGTTATTTTATTTTGTGACGTGCGACTCTGTGTCTGAATCATTTCCCTGTGGATCAAAAAAGATTAAGTTTTTGTTTTAGTTTACGTTTTAGTTTTTTTTTAGATTAAGTTTTAGTTTTTTTTTTTGTTTTAGTTTAAGTTTTAATTTTAGTTTAAATGTGAGTTTGACTCGGTGCTGCTGCAGTTCTTCTTCTCTGCCGCGGGCGGCGCTGTTCCTTGGAGCCGCGGCGGAAGTGCTCCGGACTGACGGACCGCTGCGGAAATACACGAACACGACGGAAAGAAAAAGAGCAAGAAACGAGAAAGAAACGCGTTTAGAGCCCGAGAGGACAGCGGACATCACACAAAAACACTCGGAGACACTCGGAGACACTCGGAGACACTCGGAGACACTCGGAGACACTCGGAGTTTGTGTTTTGAGACAGTCGGAGACAGTTTGAAGATGAAGACGGTTCTGATGGTCGCGGAGAAACCGTCCCTGGCCCAGTCCATCGCCAAGATCCTGTCCAAAGGTGAGACACGAACACACACCTGTCCCCATGTCCTACTGTCCTACTGTCCTCACACACCTGTCCTACTGTCCTACTGTCCTCATACACACTGTTCTGACTGTCCTCATACACCTGTCCTACTGTCCTACTGTCCTCACTCCTGTCACTGTCCTACACACCTGTCCTACTGTCCTCATACACCTGTCCTACTGTCCTCATACACACCTGTCCTACTGACTGTCCTCATACACACTACTGTCCTACTGTCCTCATACACACCTGTCCTACTGTCCTCATACACACCTGTCCTACTGTCCTCATACACCTGTCCTACACTGTCCTACTGTCCTCTACACCCTGTCCTACTGTCCTCTACACACCTGTCCTACTGTCCTCACACACCTGTCCTACTGTCCTACTGTCCTCATACACACCTGTCCTACTGTCCTCATACACACCTGTCCCTACTGTCCTCATACACCTGTCCTACTGTCCTCATACACCTGTCCTACTGTCCTACTGTCCTCATACACACCTGTCCTACTGTCCTCACACACCTGTCCTACTGTCCTCACACACCTGTCCTACTGTCCTACTGTCCTCATACACACCTGTCCTACTGTCCTCAACTGTCCTCACACCTGTCCTACTGTCCTCATACACCTGTCCTACTGTCCTCACACACCTGTCCTACTGTCCTCATACACCTGTCCTACTGTCCTACTGTCCTCATACACACCTGTCCTACTGTCCTCATACACACCTGTCCTACTGTCCTCATACACCTGTCCTACTGTCCTCATACACCTGTCCTACTGTCCTCACACACCTGTCCTACTGTCCTCACACACCTGTCCTACTGTCCTCATACACCTGTCCTACTGTCCTACTGTCCTCATACACACCTGTCCTACTGTCCTCACACACCTGTCCTACTGTCCTACTACACACCTGTCCTACTGTCCTCATACACACCTGTCCTACTGTCCTACTGTCCTCACACACACCTGTCCTACTGTCCTACTGTCCTCATACACCTGTCCTACTGTCCTACTGTCCTCATACACACCTGTCCTACTGTCCTCACACACCTGTCCTACTGTCCTCACACACCTGTCCTACTGTCCTCACACACACCTGTCCTACTGTCCTACTGTCCTCATACACACCTGTCCTACTGTCCTCACACACCTGTCCTACTGTCCTCACACACCTGTCCTACTGTCCTCACACACCTGTCCTACTGTCCTCATACACCTGTCCTACTGTCCTCATACACCTGTCCTACTGTCCTACTGTCCTCATACACCTGTCCTACTGTCCTCTACACACCTGTCCTAACTGTCCTACTGTCTATACACCTGTCTCTGTCTACTGTCCTCATACACACCTGTCCTACTGTCCTCACACACCTGTCCTACTGTCCTACTGTCCTCACACACCTGTCCTACTGTCTACTGTCCTCACACACCTGTCCTACTGTCCTCTCTACACCTCATACACACCTGTCCTACTGTCCTCATACACCTGTCCTACTGTCTCATACACACCTGTCCTACTGTCCTACTGTCCTCATACACACCTGTCCTACTGTCCTCACACACCTGTCCTACTGTCCTACTGTCCTCATACACACCTGTCCTACTGTCCTCATACACACCTGTCCTACTGTCCTCTACCTCCTACTGTCCTACTGTCCTACTGTCCTCACACACCTGTCCTACTGTCCTCACACACACCTGTCCTACTGTCCTCATACACCTGTCCTACTGTCCTACTGTCCTCATACACACCTGTCCTACTGTCCTCACACACCTGTCCTACTGTCTCATACACACCTGTCCTACTGTCCTCATACCTACTGTCCTACTGTCCTCATACACACCTGTCCTACTGTCCTCATACACACCTGTACTGTCCTACTGTCCTCACTCCTACACACCTGTCCTACTGTCCTACTGTCCTCATACACACCTGTCCTACTGTCTACACCTGTCCTCACACACCTGTCCTACTGTCCTCATACACCTGTCCTACTGTCCTCACACACACCTGTCCTACTGTCCTCATACCACACCTGTCCTACACCTGTCCTCACACCACACCTGTCCTACTGTCCTCACACACCTGTCCTACTGTCCTCATACACACCTGTCCTACTGTCCTACTGTCCTCATACACACCTGTCCTACTGTCCTCATACACCTGTCCTACTGTCCTACTGTCCTCATACACCTGTCCTACTGTCCTACTGTCCTCACACACCTGTCCTACTGTCCTCACACACACCTGTCCTACTGTCCTCACACACCTGTCCTACTGTCCTACTGTCCTCATACACACCTGTCCTACTGTCCTACTGTCCTCACACACCTGTCCTACTGTCCTACTGTCCTCACACACCTGTCCTACTGTCCTACTGTCCTCATACACCTGTCCTACTGTCTCTACACACCTGTCCTACTGTCCTACTGTCCTCACACACCTGTCCTACTGTCCTACTGTCCTCACACACCTGTCCTACTGTCCTCACACACCTGTCCTACTGTCCTCATACACCTGTCCTACTGTCCTCATACACACCTGTCCTACTGTCCTCATACACCTGTCCTACTGTCCTACTGTCCTCACACACACCTGTCCTACTGTCCTACTGTCCTCATACACACCTGTCCTACTGTCCTCATACACACCTGTCCTACTGTCCTCACACACACCTGTCCTACTGTCCTCATACACCTGTCCTACTGTCCTACTGAACCAGGACTAAATCAGGATTAAACCAGGACTAAACCAGGACTAGACCAGGTCAAATCAGGACTGGACTCAGGTTTGTACATGTCAGATGTTTATTTGTGCAGACGTGACACAGACTCTGGGATCTTCTGCTCCTCGTCTTCACTTCGTCCTTTTCCAATGACAAAAAACAAAAACAAACAAACAAACAAACAAACAAACAAACCTGAAGGTGTTAAATCTTAAATTTTTTTTCGTGTTTGTCTGAAACGCGGGACACAAACTCAAACGTGGAGAGTTTGCGAAAAGCCCCGGGGACTACATAGACCATGATGCTTTGCTGCTTCAGCGCGACAACAGAAGCTGCCGTGAAGCTCTTTAAACGTGGGACCAAAAAAAACCAAAACATCTCCACAGAGTTTTTTCCTCTGAATTTCTCTTCGACTCGGAGTAAAAACGGCGAAGAGTGAAAAAGTGCAGAGTTAAACGAACGAGGAAACAGAAGCCGAAGTGCGAAACTGAAACGTCAGAAAAAACCACACAAAAAAAAAACGTCATGAGAATAAATCTGGAATAATATCGAACGGTGAGATATCGAAAGTATCGCAGGGAGACTTTTCGATATTGCGACGTCAGAAACGAAGCTTAAAGACGGAACACACAAAGTGACGTTTACATTCCTCGAAGCTGACCGAAACCACGCCAGGTCCCTCTTAATGACATCAGAATGTGTAACGGTGACAGGCCCCTCCCTCGGCCCCGCCCACCCCCGTCCCTCGACCCCGCCCCCGCCCCCCCCCGTCTCTCGGCCCCGCCCCCCCTCCCTCGGCCCCGCCCCCTCAGTTGTTGCGGGACACGGCGCACAGGCAGGCGACGGTGATGAGCTCGTAGTCCATGGCGTATCCGGGCGAGGGGAAGCACGCCGGGTTCTTCTTGAGCACGGGGACCCGGAGAGTGACGGGGATGGTCTCCAGGCCGAAGGCGCCCTCCAGCGCCCGACACGAGTGCGACGTGTGGCAGCTCGCCTCGTGGATGACCTGAGGCACACGGTTCAGGTCGATGTTTTGCCTGCAGGGGGCGCAAGGTTACTCACTGTTCTCTGATGCACACGGAACAAGAACACAACTAGAACGTTTAGTCCTGGTTTAGTCCTGGTTTAGTCCTGGTTTAGTCCTGGTTTAGTCCTGCTTTAGTCCTGCTTTAGTCCTGCTTTAGTCCTGGTTTATTTAGTCCTGTTGTAGTCCTGGTTTAATCCTGGTTTAGTCCTGGTTTAGACCTGCTTTAGTCCTGGTTTATTTAGTCCTGTTGTAGTCCTGGTTTAGTCCTGGTTTAGTCCTGGTTCAGTCCTGGTTTAGACCTGGTTTAGTCCTGGTTTAGTCCTGGTTTAGTCCTGGTTTGGTCCTGGTTTAGACCTGGTTCAGTCCTGGTCTAGTCCTGGTTTAGTCCTGGTTTAGACCTGGTTCAGTCCTGGTCTAGTCCTGGTTTAGTTCTGGTTTAGTTCTGGTCTAGTCCTGGTTTAGTCCTGGTTTAGTTGTGTTACTCACACGTAGCTCCAGGGGGCGATGCTGCGCTCGTGGATGTGACTGGGCAGATTCACCATTTGGCTGTAATACTCCTGAAGATCGTAGGAGCAGAACGTCTCGTCCAGACACTGCCCCCTGGAGGAGAACGCAGGAGGAGGCAGGAGGAGCAGGAGCAGCAGGAGAACACGGAGAACCTGACGGAACACACACACACGTCACACACACCGCCCCCTACAGGAGAACACAGAGAACCTGACACACAAGGAGAACCTGACACACAAGGAGAACCTGACACACAAGGAGAACCTGACATACGGAGAACCTGACACACGAGGAGAACCTGACACATTAGGAGAACCTGACACACGAGGAGAACCTGACATACGGAGAACCTGACATACGGAGAACCTGACACAAGAGGAGAACCCGACACACGGGGAGAACCCGACACACGGGGAACCCGACACACGGGAGAACCCGACACACGGGGAGAACCTGACACACGGGATAACCTGACACACGAGGAGAACCTGACACACGAGGAGAACCTGACACACGAGGAGAACCTGACACACGAGGAGAACCTGACACACGAGGAGAACGTGCAAACTTCACACAGATCAGTGTTTTCACAACAGCCTCTGGAGTTTTGTGACCTGAAAACTCTCGTTGTGTTTCTCGTTTTTTTTTCTTCTAAACGTCGGGGCCTCGTGTCCACGTGCAGATTTAAAGCCGATATCACAAACACTTATATCGACATATCGATATATCGGTATGTATCGGTGTGTCTCTCGCACAAACTCCATTTTCCAAAAGTGTTTTTGAAAAAAAGAGGAAATCTTTAATTTGGTCCTGATTTTCCTCTGTACCAAGTCCCTCTGTAGACCCGACTCGGTCTGGGTCTGGAGTCTGGATCTGGATCGAGTCTGGGTCTAGTTTGAACTCTGGGTTTGGGTCCAGTTTGGAGTCTGGATCTTGGTCTAGTCTGGAGTCTAGACCTTGGTCTAGTCTGGAGTCTGGAGTCTGGACCTTGGTCTAGTCTGGTCCTGGTCCTGATCCTGGTCCCGGTCTTTGTTAAACCGATCTGGGTTCTGAGGGACACGAGCGTCTCACCTGCGTCTGTTCCATGGTTTAGGGTTCTGGGTCCTGGTTTGGTCCTGGTTCTCGGTCCTGGTCCGGGTTCTGGGTCTTGGTTCTTGGTCCTGGTCCGGGTTCTGGGTTCTGGGTCTTGGTTCTCGGTCCTGGTCCGGGTTCTGGGTCTCTCGTTCTGTTTTTATCCTCGTCTCTTCGTCGTCTCTTTCTGGCGTCCGTGGTTTCTGGCGTCCGATTGGCCAGCGCTCGCTCCCTGTCGCCGGGCTCTGCTCTGTGATTGGTGGGCGGTCCTGATGACGAGGTTCCGGCGGCGGTGGCGGCGGTGGCGTTGGCGGTGGCGTTGGCGGTGGCGTGTTTTAATCGCTCACTCGGTCCATTAGCTCCGGCCTTGGACGCTCATTTTCATTTTGGATGAAGAGCAGATTTACATTTGACCCTGATCCACGTCAAACGCCACGAGTCCAAGACCAGGACCAGGACCAAGACCAAGACCAAGACCAGGACCAGGACCCCATGAGTCTGAGTCTGACCTCACAGGACCAGGACCAGGACCAGGACCCCATGAGTCTGAGTCTGACCTCACAGGACCAGGACCAGGACCAGGACCCCATGAGTCTGAGTCTGACCTCACAGGACCAGGACCAGGACCAGAACTCCAGACTGTGGCATTAACAGGAGACTCCAGGGTGGCGCCTCACGGGTCAGATCTGTGGAAAGGCGTTCATGAGCTTTAAAAACACGCCTCGGTTTAATGCCACACTGCGGAACATGATGAGCAAAGCACCAGGAAAAGTTACGCAGTGCAGCTTTAAAAGAGCACGAGCTCTCGGACCTCATGTAGTCTGACCCAGAACCAGGTCCAGACCCCAGAACCAGGTCCAGACCACAGAACCACAACCAGGTCCAGAACCCAGAACCACAACCAGGTCCAGACCCCAGAACCAGACCAAGAACCACACACAGATCCACATTCAGAACCCAGATCCCAGACCCAGACCCAGATCCTAGACCCAGACGCTCCACAGGGGTTGGAGGGGTCACAGGGGTCAGAGGTCAGAGTCTGACTCAGATCAGAGACAAAGAGACAAACAGAAAAGTACAAATTAAACCAAACAGGACAAATATTATAATGTCTCCTTCTTCTTCTTCCTCTCTTCTTCTTCTTTTGTGTGCGTCAGGTTCGTGTTCGAGTCGTAAAGGTTTAAACGGCGCGTGTTCGGTTCACGAGTTCATCGGTTCCTTTCAGGGACAAAACGTCCGATTCAAGATGACGTCAGTGTGCGGCCACGTCATGAGCCTCGACTTCACAGGTAACACCACCCGCAACTACACCCACAACACCATCCGCAACTACACCTACACCCACAACTACACCCACAACTACAACTACACCTACAACTAGACCCACATCTACACCTACAACTACACCCACAACTACACCTACACCCACAACTACACCTACAACTACACCTACACCCACAACTACACCTACAACTAGACCCACATCTACACCTACAACTAGACCCGCAACTACACCTACAACTACACCCGCAACTACACCTACACCCACAACTACACCTACACCCACAACTACACCTACAACTAGACCCACATCTACACCTACAACTACACCCGCAACTACACCTACACCCACAACTACAACTACACCCACAACTACTACTACACCCACAACTACACCTACAACTAGACCCACATCTACACCTACAACTACACCCGCAACTACACCTACACCCACAACTACAACTACAACTACACCCACAACTACAACTACACCCACAACTAGACCCACATCTACACCTACAACTACACCTACAACTACACCTACACCCACAACTACAACTACACCCACAACTACACCTACAACTAGACCCACATCTACACCTACAACTACACCTACAACTACACCTACACCCACAACTACAACTACACCCACAACACCACCCGCAACTACACCCACAACTACAACTACACCCACAACTACATCCACAACTACAACTACATCCACAACTACACCTACACCCACAACTACAACTACACCTACAACTAGACCCACATCTACACCTACAACTACACCTGCAACTACACCTACACCCACAACTACAACTACACCCACAACTACAACTACACCTACAACTAGACCCACATCTACACCTACAACTACACCTACAACTACACCTACACCCACAACTACAACTACACCCACAACACCACCCGCAACTACACCCACAACTACAACTACACCCACAACTACACCCACAACTACAACTACATCCACAACTTCACCTACACCCACAACTACAACTACACCTACAACTAGACCCACATCTACACCTACAACTACACCCGCAACTACACCTACACCCACAACTACAACTACACCCAGAACTACACCTACAACTACACCCACAACTACACCTACAACTAGACCCATATCTACACCCACAACTACAACTACACCTACAACTACACCCACAACTACAACTACACCCACAACTACAACTACACCCACAACTA